GGAGACCTCTATTTTCCTTAAAGTGTCCCCCAAAGTCTAAACTTTAATTGGAAAATCAATGTCTGACTAAGATGAAAATGAGTGTAACTAGTTCAGGCAGGAAACTCGAGAAGAGCTACATCAGCTGACAGCAGCCTGGTAAACTACCAGCCACGTCAGCATCAGCAGGCACACAACAATTGGAGGATACACATCACGAGGTCTTACGGCGGTCTATTTGAAAGACGTCAAGCTCGCTCACTTCTGCTGCTGTTTGCAATGACTTTTCATGCTATGCAACACGCTCTTTGGTTTTTGCTTGCCTCCTCCACCCCAGCCTCCACCTGTTTGGTTCTGCTCACATCGGCTGGGATTTTGATTTCTGTTCATGACTATGTTTGTATGTTCGCTGTGCCTAGGTAGTACATTCCTCCAGAGCAGAACCGCCGCCAATATACAATGTAATGCTTATACCCATTAATAAATTGTTCTATTTTATTGAAACGTGGGTTTTCCTGACTGAACCTAGGTTTTCAGTGGTGCCACCCAACTGGCTTTCAACATGTGCAATTAAGCATGCTTCATGACTAAGCTGCTTCAATGTGAAATGAGCATGGAAAGCATTCTAAAACTTTTCTGCAGATCTATGGAGTTCAGGACCTGGCAGATTTCAGAAAGTATCAATTTTAGAATTTTGCTGGTGGTTAATTTTTATATATCAGCGGCAGCTCATGAACTGGCAACAAGGGAAGCTCAAACAATCCCTTAAAATTAATGATTGTTCATGATCTGTTTTCAATCATTCATTTAAATTACCATTACAGAAACTCCGAAAACTCCCAATATTATCAGGTGTGGCCAGTTTTCATTAATAACGCATACCTGTCAACTCTCACGCATTCGGTGTGAGTTTAAGTGGCATATTTATATACATTCCTCTGCTGTAGTCAGCAATTATTCAATCAACGTGCGGAGTTGAAGTCCTTGTGCATGGAGGGGTTGGAAGCAATGGAATTGCATAAAGATGTTTCACATGATTTTATTTCATTTAAACGATCATGAAACACACGCATGCTGAGTAAAGAAAAGCGTGAGGTGTCCGGAGTTGTAATCGGTATGCGTTATAAATGAAAACTGGCCACATCTGATAATGTTGAGAGCTGCCGGAGTTCCAGTAATGGTAATTTAAATGAATGACTGAAAACAGGTCATGAGTCATAACCAATCATTTCAAGGGATTGTTTGAGCCTCCCCTATTGCCAGTTCACGAGCCGCCACTGATATATACAGGGTATATCAAAAAAAAAGTGTACACTTTGAAAAATGTCTCCAAAATTGATGTATCATTTTCCCAAAATCTATTATGATGTATTGATGGACCATGCCCTCATGCTCCTATTGACACCTTGTTAATTGCCTGCTGTTCCGCATGAGTGAACACGGATTGTTTATTTTCACCCGATTTAAACTGGCTTGCGCACAGAAATGAGAGAGTTAAAAACGAAACAAACACAATGATTGGCAGGTTTAGACATTTAATTTTTTCCACACAAATTTTTATGAAAATTGGATTAACCCTTTGTCCGCTACCAGCCCACTAACATGGACTCACATTTTGCCATTCTCAGCACACTTACAACAGCATGACTGTAATTAAGTCCATGGTTCAAGGAACATTGCATTCAAATTTCAGTCTTCGACATGGGCTCCATTCCTTTGTTTAGAGACCTCTGCTCTCCTCAGCATATCATAAACAGACTGTCGGAACATTGCAGGATCCTGCCTCAAAATGGCAACCTCAGCAATCAGAGTCTGAAGTTGGCAGGCTTGAGATTGAGAAACAAGTTAGCTGAGTCACCAGAGGGCTATCGCCGTGTTCCTAAATATAGTAGCACGGAATGCTGAAAAAAAAAAAAAACTTAGCAACCCAGCTAGGTTTGGCTAGCTGGGTTACTAAGCTATTTTCATTTTCCATGTAAATTTTTTAAATTGCACATATATCATGGAAATTAGTGGATTCAAAGTGCAATTTTAGCACTTTAGCCAAAGGACATGAAGAATGTAAGCTGGTTTGCCAATTGCCATTAAACATCATTGAAGAGGAGTTATTCTTATGGTTGTTAGTTATCAGCTTACATTTTTCATATCCTTCAGCTAAAGCGCAAAGATAGCTCTTTGAATCCCATATTTTCCATAGAAAACTAATTAATATAAAAAGCATAATGCCTGAGTAACTATAATATATAAATACATAATAAATACAATGCAAAACAAATACAGATTAGCAACGATGGAATCAGATTTTTACTTGCAGTCGAGCAGATTCACTTCATTTGATTTCTTGTAGGGCTGAACAGTTTTCAAAGTTCTCAACATGCCTACTAATTGTGACACAGCTCCTTTATTGTGGATAGGAAAGTGCTTGATATCTTTGTAATGAACAATTATGCAAGCTGAGGGGAAATGGACTGTAATTCAACTGATTGATGCTCACAACTGAACAAATTAATACTTAGTTGCTAATTAGAAAATGTATGACTTTGGAGAAGTAATGCGCTTTAAGGTGAGGTGAGAGCAGGGATATAATCCCTCTGATGACAAGTATAGGGTGCAAGGAGTAAATACACAGCACTGATTGACTGGTAAATGAAAGCAATTTTGTCACTTATTTCATCGTAAATATACTGTCACTCTCATGTGTTATTGTTGTAAGTTCAGATGTTATCAATGTTATCAATGTTATCTTATTGATTTCAAATTCATTATTAAAGTTGTTTCAGGTCTAAAAACAAATTGCAGGATGTATGTGCTTTTTCCCTGTCCTTTTCATGACCTTATTGGCGCAACCTACCTGCAAAGACTGTTTGCACCCTCACTAAATGCCACTTCAAATGATATGCAGCATAGGGTTTTAGTCTTATTCATCTAGACACTTATCTCCTCCAGTTTCTGTGATTCACTGTTTTTTTTTATGACTCACTGTGCTGTCCGCCTTGGCTGGATAGTCTTATCTTGGCATTGGCATTGCCATAAAATAATCCATAAACAGCCTTACAAAAACGGTATGTCATTGGAAAGGCCATATTATCACGATCAAATGAGTCCTAAAAACAGCTTTCCCACTCATCTTAAACCTGTATTCTAGTTAAAATGCATAATGGATTCCTCATCAGACTGGCAGTCCTGATTAGCTGGCATCATTGCTGTGTAACCATAAACCTTCCCTAACATTTCACTGGCCTAAGACTAGTGTTGTTTATGGTGCAAATATCCAGTGTTATTGTACACTGTTGAAAAGAAAATTAATTGTTTTAAGTTCTGTAAATGGATCCCAATGGCATAAGGTGCGAAGTGGCCAGAAATAAATAAAAAATAATAAAAAAACACTACACAGTCTTTCATGTAGCAGGATAGTGTACTAAATTTTGTAATTCATAAAAAGCCATATTTGAAAAAAAAAAATTAAAGAATGAACAAATTCTTTCCATTTACCGGCAATATAAAGTAGTCTGAGACTTACTGGGGAAAAAAAGCTGAGAGAAGCAATCAAAAATAATACTAATAATTTCTACAGCTGAGCTGGAGGGAATGATCAGATGCTCATGATTGCCGTTGAAAAAATATACATCAGTCAGCTAAAACATTAAAACCACCTGCCTAATGTTGTGTAGGTCCATCTCGTGCCACTAAGAAAGCTCCAGCAAACTGCAATCCACTTGAATTCCCAGACCCAGGGTTTCCCAGCTGAATATTTCCCCGAGCATCATACTCCCACCACGAGCTTCTACCCACAGTGCATCCTGGTGCCCTGTCTTCCCCTAGGCAAATGGTTAACATGTACCCCACTAATACATGCCCATCGTGCGTACTTTTGGAAGTGGGCCGAGGTTAGAATGGGCTCTCCGAATGGTCTGCAGCTACTAATGCTTTCTGCAGCAGGGTGTGATGCACTGTGTGTTGTGACACATTCCTCTTGAAAAAGTCATTAAAATTTTCTGTGACTTGTGCCACAGAAGCCCTTTTGTTGGGTCAGACCAGATGGGATAGGCTTCTATGGCGCTCGTGCATCGATGAGCCTTGGGTGCTTCGGAGATGCCATGACCCTCTCGTCTAGTCATCATGATTTGAACCATGTCAAAGTCGCTCAGGTTTCGTTTCTCCCACATCCAAACCATTGAATGTGAGAACTAGCTGTTCACTAGCCATTTTAGGCCTGTCTGCAGACCTTGACATGTCCTGTTGTTAACAGATAACTGACGTTTGCTTCATCTGCAAGTGCATTCATTAACTTGCTCCCCTCACGCAGAGTGGTACTGAATTGTGTAAAGGGAATTAGACAACATCTCTGCTGTATAGGGTTGTTATACCACAGCTAACAACCAATCAAATTGCTTTATTTCAAATACAAATTTAACCAATGGACACAATCCCACTTATAAAATTACTGCAGAAAAAGGTGATCTACTGTGTTTCAGGCAGTGTTTTCTTTCACATTTGAAAAAAGCTAACCACCTGCAAAGGTCAAACTCGCATGCAAAACTTGTCTCATTATAACCCTCTTTACACAAGGTCACTGCCCATTTGAGTGCAGGTTCTGATCTTTCCAAAGGTTCCTTATTTATTTTTCCATGCCGAAAAGAAAATATTGATTTCAAAATAAGTCTAAAATGTAAAAAAAAAAAGTAATGTAACGAAACATTTTTTTAAAAACCCCTTCAGACTAGCATATTCTGCTCTACATATTGAATTTACATCAGAGTATTTTTGTTAGTGACTGTAGAAGGCATAAGATTTAAGATTGAACCCTGTGGGGTGATTTGTCCTCTGCATTTAACCCATCCTATAGTTAGGAGCAGTGGGCAGCTACAGAGCAGCGCCCAGGGATCAACTCCAGTTCTAAAGCCAGTTCCTTGGTCAGGGGTACTGGCAGGAGTGTTCCTATAATGCATGTTTTTGTGGGTGGGGGAGACCGGAGCAAACCCACGCAAACACAGGGAGAACATGCAAACTCCACACAGAAAGGCCCCAGGTCGGGTTCGAACCCACGACATTCTTCCTGTGAGGTGACGGTGCTAACCACTGCACCACCGTGCCGCATGGTACAGGCAGTCACCACAGAGCCAAGAGTGCAGAGTTGGAAAGAGGCTAGTTTGTGGCATTCAGTTGACAGAGTGATAAACAGGAAAACTAAGCCAAATTAGTTGAAAAAAGGGAGAAAATGCCTGCAGAACAAACACTGCAAATGCTGGTACCTGGAGTCCCTTGCTGTTTGGAGGCGGGACGCACACGCAGACTGAAGATTGTTATTCATGAATGTGCCCTCCCTGGGGCACCTGCACCCGGCTCAGATGTGTTCAGTCAGCTGAACTGTGTGCAGCACGCAGTGCAGTCACACAGAAGTGACGGCTCATTCTCCCTGCTTTCCCACATTTGCACAAATTCGCTGATGCAAATGTTTCGGACACGTGATTCAACACTGATAAAGAAGCTCACAGCAAATGCGGGTGAATCCAAACATAAAGATAAAAATTCATCCATAAGACACAGTTGGTGACGGTCAATGAGGTTGTAATATGGGTTCAATATTTTCTCTTCACTTGACTGCATAACTGAGAACTCGATGAGGATGTAGGGATCATTAACAAATTATTTTGACACCACACTGTTATAAACTGCCATAATTTTACGGTACATTGCAGGTGCAGATTCGCAGTAATGCGACGTTTCCCAGGCCCACGTGAATTGCAATGAAATTTACAGTTAATTTAACCGAACAAGCGTTTTTTTGCACTCGGCATGCATTGGAAGTAAGGACCATGGGCTAAATATCCCAGGACCATGCCTAGCACCTGCCTAAATATCCCAAATGATAAATCAATGGTTTAACCTGCCTAGCACCTAATTTTGCAGTAGATTTAATTTATTTTTTTTTTCCCCCAAATGATAAATCAATTTTACAATCAATTGGTAACAGTGCAATAGTCTTTCCACTATAATAAGAGTAGTAGAAGTAGTAGTAGTAGTAGTAGTAGTAGTAGTAATAATAATAATAATAATAATAATAATATTCCTTTTGACACTGGATGGATGACAGTGTTAAATTTCTGACTCATAGTATAGTTTCTATGAGGCTGAATAGTGGAATATTCTATGGAATAGTAATTTCCATCTTCTCAATTTGCAGCAACACCCTTTCACTGGGTTGTGTGACGAATGAGAAGAAATCTTCGGGGTATTTTTTTCCACCTGTTTCAGCCGTTGATGTGCCCTCCCCTCATCAAACTCCACTGAGTTTAGCAGTGAAGCTAAGTGTCATTACGTATTACTCTGGGTTAAATATGCTTACAGCAGGAAATCTTGGTGTTGGGCATAGGGGATGGGGATTTTTTCAGTAAAATTCAAATGGCAGAATACGGGATGGCCTGCAAGTTTTGTATTTATTATTTTCAGTCAGAAAGAGTTACATACTCAGAAAATTATTCATTACCGGATGGATAGATGGACTATTTTCTCCCTGATTCTGATATACAATCAATAATGTACACCACATATCACTTGCATCGGGGAAACAGAGAAGGAGCTTAAGTTTAATCTTTAATTTACTGAAAATTAAAGGGTTTATCATTCCCTTATTCATAGTACATAGTACATAGTACGTCAACAGTGTCTGTGCCCTTCAGTGTTTCTTGTATTCTGCATCAACTCACATGCTCAAAACTTTTTCCTCCTGTGCTCTTGAATCCATACTTTCAAAGTATTTATGCACTACGACATATTTTGAATAATATTCTTTCTTTCTTCTCTGGTTGTTTTGTAAAAATACTTATTATTATAACTTGAAACCCCTCATTTTTCAATTTATATTTCAGGCAGAAATGGAATTAATTTCATTTGAACAGAATTAGTTACGCGGAAATAGAGAAGAAAATGTGGAATGTACTCAATAACAAATCATATATTTAAAGGTTAATGTATTTTAGGGGACAACATAATGAACAATAAACAGCAACCGAACATATTTCATGTCATTATGAATCGGATTGTGACCTCGGGGCTGTGCATTATGCTGCACATAAATGTGTTGTAATAACATTTGTAAAAGGCTGTCTTGGAGAGCAGGTTGGCCAAACCATCTTCTGCATTACTTTCTTCATAAAGAGAAGGCCCCTTGCAAGTTGTGGTCTCAATAGCCTCTGCACCCATGTATGCAGAGCCTGGAAGTGGTGGCTAATGTTCAACCTCAATTCCGAAGATTTGAGACGGTGTGTAATATGTAAATAAAAACAGCAAACTAATTTGCAAATCCTGTTCAACTTTAGGCATAATAAGTAATGTCATCATGCTTTAACTTTATTTCATTTTTTTTGAAAATAAGGGGTATTTCAAAATATTATGTCAGCAACACGTTCCAATGAAGATGGGACGGGTGCATGTACACCATTGTGTAACATCACCTCTCCTGTTAATGACAATCAGTTATCATTTTAGAGATGAGAGCACAAGTTGTTGGAGTGCCAAAAGCAGATTTTGTTCCCATTCTTACCTGATACTGAACTTCAGTTTCAGGAGTTTCTGTTGTCATATTTTGCTTCAAAATCTGCCCCACATTTCCAATGGAAGACAGGTCAAGGCTACAGGCTGGCAGATTAGATACATGCATTCTGTGACGATGAAGCCACACATGTGTAAATGTGCAGAGCATGACTTGATTTTATCCTGCTGGAACGAGCATATATTGCTCTAAAATGAGTGTCTGCATCAATAGTGCCTTTGAAGATGTGTGAGTTGCTCATACTGAGTACTAATGTAGCCCCAAACCGTTACTGATGCTGGTTTTTGTACTTGTAACTAGTTGCTAACAAGTTAAGTGGCTCTCTACCAATATTCTTGGACAATGAGCTATCAATGCACAGTCATTTAGTATAAGATTTTATAGTTTTAACCCTATTAAATTATCTCCCAGCCAAATTGGAATTGAGAATTTGTCCATTAGGTAACAGGTTTACAGCAGTCCCATTTTTTGAGAGGCAATTATGCATTCCTTTATAACAAGCCATTTTAAATTTTGTTATAATTATTTCGACAAAGCCATACTGTGGTACTTTATGTTGACCCAGATTCAAATGTTTTACATGTTTCCAAAAATGCACTTTACAGCAGTCCCATTGGAGCCAATCAATATGACTAAGAATCGTATGAAAATGCTCAAAAACCAATCAATTGGCACAACATCCTTCATCCTTCAAAAACACTGTTCACAGTTCTTGACTGTGACTTTGTTGACTGGAGAACTGATAGTTCCTTTTGAAATCAAAAATTAATGGATGTTTGTGATTAACCTTATTATTATACGGTATTTTTTAAAAAAGAGATTGCTGTTTATTTTTCATGCATAAATTCTCAGCACATTGAGCTCAGCAATTGTATTTATCTTTTAGGGGACTACTTCTTCAATATGTGTGACCATGAAAGGAGCTGAGGGATTGTGCAAAATTTGCTTTATTTATTTTTCTTGTTTAATATAAAAAAAAATACAAGGCTTAAATCTGCACATTGATACAACGCACAAAATCCCATTTAAAATACAAAGCAAACTATTTGTTTTGATAATCCAACAACTGAATGGCATTTTACATCTAGCGACTGTAAACAGAAAATGGGGAGGGGGGGCGGGGGTCAGGTAAAGCAAACTCGCAGCTTCCTTTATAATAAAACGTAAGGGCAATGAAATAGTTAATAAAATATTTTATTCACTGGCCTATGTGTGCTACACTTTATGAAAAAAAGAAATCACTCTAGATTCTCTGCATTAACTTTTGCACAAGACTATCAAACATGCACTTTGTGATTGTTTAAATGAAAACAAAGAAAAGGAAGATAGAAATGCATGCAATTTTGCATCCAAATGAAACATTTTATTTCTGTGGTCTTACCGTTACAAAGAGAATTGACTATACCTGAGAGAGTTGAATATTCACTGAGTAAATCATTGATCGCTAATTAAGTTAAATGATTGAAAACAGATAAAGACTTATCATCAGTTCAGCAGCTGCTACTGATTGCAATATAACATTTCCAGCTATCAAGTTACACAAAGCACCAAACTATGATTGATCAATACAGTGAGAATGTTTAATGCAACCAAGTACAGTACTGTGCAAAAGTCTAAGGCACCCTGTTTTTTTAAAAAAAAAAAACTAAATCTGGCTTTAAATGTTTACTTTTTGTTTTCCACATTGGTGTTGCTGAAGATAAAACTTATATTTTAAATTCCAAATGCTGATTTAAAAAAATATTTTTACAAATGAATGTTTGTATTTCAGTAAAAACAGTTGATACAGGTAATACAGCCATGACAGAGGCCTGATGCTAACATCATCATGACTGTTTGCAGTTACTTGGAGGGACAGACGGCAGTGAGACAGTCAGTCTGCAGAAGAACAGGGTCAAGTTTTCCACTCTGCTTGGAACAAGCAAAACGCCAATCATCTTATGAAGTATAGCACAACAGGACAGTGTGCCAAATTTTTAGGCAAACTGTAGTTACACCAAATATAGGTTTGGCTTAGTTTTTAACAGTTTACAGCACTGTATTGTACATTTCTCAGTTATTAGAAACTTTTAATTTAATTGTTTTTGCAAGCATATTTGTCCTATGAAATTGCTTTAAATGTGCCTAAGATTTTTGCACAGTACTGTATATTGCAATATTACAGGCTCTTTTATTCACATGACGGTGTGTTTTTGCAAACTCAACACCATGTTGCATTGGAAGGTTGATGTCTGTCTTGCTAAGAATGTGTTTTTTTTAAAAAAAACCCATTTCATTACCACTGTTAACAGAATGTGCCATGACAACACTAACTTAGAATTGCCCTTCAGAGTTGGTGCAGGCATTAGAATCTAGAGTTATAAAAAGCTTTGTGCAAACAGCTGGCAAGCTTTAGAACAGAGAACTCACTGAGGAATTAAAGTTATAATAGTAGGCACAGACACTGACCCCGCTGGCTTCTTGTTTCAAAACTTTCAAGAATACTTTATTGAAAGGGAACATGGATGGAAACTTGTTTGTTTTTCAGCATTCTTATGGTCGG